AACAGGACGCGGCGCGACCAACTGCCGCCCTTTAAATCGGTTAACTATCCACAAATATACGAGGATGATCATTTTGTTTATGGACAGTTGCCTTCAAATTGAAATTTTAATAAAATATCCGTTGAATCCGTGTTGATTTGTACTAATACATGTATATTGTGTTTTTGATACGGATTTTCATGTCATTAATGATCGTATACCGAGAAGTAACAATCAGACTCAATTTACAGCGGAAAAAGCAGTTACAAAATTGATTATTTTTTATTGTGGCAGATGTTTTATAGAAATAAGATCCATTTCAATCTCATCGCCAAATATAGATTGTTAACAAACTAACTGTCAACGTATGTACAATTTGGATTGCACAAAGTCACAGCTTGCGTTGTCGTCCATGGCAAACAATATTAATATCTCAGTCGCCTGTTACGAAAAATAACAGTAATTAAATTATGTGCACACCACACTGATCCCTAGACATGCATACAGTCTTTTGTTTCCTGAGATGTTAATCCAATTATATTGCGAAAGAAACGGGTGACCGCGGATGGAAAGTATGAACAATATATAAAGATTTTTTTTTTTCTTTTCCCTGAGCAATTCTATTTTTCTGGGTCATGTTTTGTTTGTGACATTAACATAGACTATGTGAATAATGATGTGAATATTTCGTATTTTATGTATTTTTTTTTTTTTTTTTTTTAATTTTGTTTATAAAAACAATAAAACCTGTGATAAAGTCTACACGACCCTATATGTATCATCGGCAGGTTGAGCGAGAACGCGTCGCTGTGTAATCCAATATGTACACAATGCGCTGGCAGCAAGTTTGTTGATCATTGATTCGTTCTGCTAGATTGTGGTCTGAGGTTTACACGGTAGCATTTTATTGGAGCTGAACTATTGCTTCTCTCGCCAAATAACAGTCCAAGTGTAACCCCGGAGGTTTGTTGGAGCCGAACTCGGCTTGAGCCGAACGCGTTTCTATGGTTTACACAGTTGTCTTGGAACGCATTCTCGGCATCTTTTATCACAGGGAATAACTACGCCGACAATCTTCGTTTAAGGATGGCGACGTAAATTTTGGGTGACGCCCTTTTTCTCTGAAAATTGTTATCTCGCTACCTGACACAAACATACGTGCCGTTTGAAAGTTAAATTATGCACTCCGCAAATCGCAGCTGTCGACAGGATAACCTTGTTCAATGAGTTTGCGGGAAACATATGTTGCTTGATACTGCAGTGTCACTATGGTAACAGTAGTGAGCATAAGCTGCATGGCATATACATACATTATATACAAATTTAATGACAGATTTGAAGAAGTGTAGTACACCAACCTGCGTGCCTGTAATACATTCTATTCATAATGGCATGACGACAATTTAATATTCTATTCCGTCACAACATAATGCGGTCCCCAAAATCTCGCGATATCTGTTTGACGCTGAATAGTAACTGGACATAGACCTTGACCACCCATAGTGTCTGTGACGTACTCCGGGTAGGGGTCGATCATTTTTTGTTTGGTACTCAAGCTCACCCAGGTAGAATTTTGAACTCGGGTATACTAGTACCTACCGGCATAACCACCGCTATGCTAGTACCTGCGATTCTTACTGCGCCATCACCGATGCAATTTAGCGGCGTCGTTTGAGACCAATCAGCGAGGGCGCACTAACCTTAAATAGTTGTCAATGCTAATATTAACATATATACGGAGTAGTATTATTGAGTTTACAATAAGCTTGTATATTATATAGTAATGAGTAGCTCGAACTTTCCCTAGATTAGCCGTTCCGAATAAACAACAGGTCTGATCACATGGTTAGTTTGAGGGGTGCTCTCTTCCCTGGCTTCATACATTTAATTAGCGTAGCAAGCTGGACAAAGACCAACGTGTGAAGTAACACCATAAATCAACTGAAAAAAATATAATATTATAATGAAGAGATTAAGTGGCTGTCCTACTCTGAAAGAACAATTTAAGTTGGAGATAACGGTAGGCCAGTTGCTATATTTTTATTGGAGAAAAGACGTATACAATTTTGCAAAATTTGTTTTCCTCCGTGAAGCCTGCTACAAAAAGCTATAGCGCATTAATGAAGCTTTGGATAGATTGAATTCCATGGTCGAATCCAGCTTGAGACTGTGGTCAAATTTTTATCTGAACTGAGTCGTTATGCTGAACATTGTGGCATTTCTCTGGATGAAGCTTTATGTGATTTATGTCTGTGGAACTGCGGAACTCGGTCACTCAAGGAAACTTTTTGAAGTG